TGTATAAGGTTGTAATAGTGTATATCAATTTTGAATGGTGTAATGTTATTTGATCAAGATGATTAGTAAGGAATAAAATCAAAAAAGAAAATACATTAATCCAATAACCAAAATTTACTAAGAGATACGTATAAAATATTAAAAAATCTTCCACAACAGCCAGCAATAATACCATTACAATCGCATATTCCACATTCACATTGAACATAATCCCATTCATAACAACCACAGCATATATTATATGTTGAACTACAACACCTATCACATAACATACAACATCCATAAAAACACTTATCACAATAATTATTTCTTTCCATTCTATAATAAGCTTCATAACTTTCATCTCTTTCACCTAATCTACGACCTCCTGTGGCTGTAGCTAATGCAGTGTCCGCTTCTGGTTGAACCGTAGGTAGAGGATCAGGTTTATATAACCATATACGCATGAACGTGATGTATATAATTGGGATAGCCAAATAGATTTCTACTTTACGTGAAATACTTTCGGTAGCAAAAATTGGATTTGATTCCTTAATTACTAACCAAAAGTGTATAGCTAACAATACCATTATTATTAAGCACGTGCTGTCCGCTGTGTTGGCTAATTTAGTAATTTGATCATCTGTTAGTGTAACTCTTCCAAAAAGAATATATCCTTCTTTCTTAACTAATCATAAGATTGTTTATTAGTGCATTATACATATATAACAATCATAATAATTGTTAAAAAAAAAAAACTTACATAATAATACTAAAATTCCTTCAAATAATCCAAACTTTCCTTCTGTAAAATCATGTATTTGAAAAGCATTAACTATTCGAAAAAAAACCTCTAAGACAAGATATGTGATAATCACATATTTAGCAGCGATTTCATAAAAAGATTGTATAGAACTCTGAAATTGAGATGTATTAGTAAAGTTAAAATATATGTATATATATGTACTTTTACTGTAAAATAAGTAATATAAACTTACATGTATGTAAAAATATACCAAAAACCCACACCCAATCACAACAACAAGATTTGCTAAAGCAGTTAAACACCACATAAGTTTCATATACATATCTCTTCTAATGCTCCGACTTCGTGGTCTTGGTGTCCTACCACCTCTATCGCCTCTATCATGAGTAAGTGTTGGACCCATTAGCCAATTATCATATCCTGCATCATAAATATTCGAAGAATCTCCTACATTCACTCGAGTATCTTGTTGAGTTTCCATGTTATATGGAGTAAGGAATGGAGTCCCAATTCCTCCTGATAATAGCGATGTTTCACGATGAGAAGGATGTGTCGGTTCATGAGCTGCTACTATTGCTCGACCACCAGGGCCTGTTTGAGGAACAGTAATGTCTTGAGATTGAGGCTGGGATTGTTGAGGTTCTTGAGATTGCTGGGATTGAGATGTTGATGCAGGAGGTTGTTCTTCTTCTTCTTCCATGCTTCTTTTTAAATTTCAAATAAAAAAACTACAGTTTAAAAAATAACAAGAACAAGAATTTCTAAGATATAGGAATTCTTGCACATATACTAATGACTCTTTTTACTACTATTTTGATATATATGCATAATAGAATAATAATAATACTGAATCATAAACGTTTCGAAATTTTTATGATAATGATAATGATACGTAACATTTCACGTACGCACGTATGTATTTTGAATGTGGCTTTAACATTTTGGCTTAGTCTATTATCCTACGTATACAACAAGCACAGCCTCTTCAGCCATCAGGCATCCACGTGATAACTTGTTTATGAACTTGAAATATAGGAATTTTTTTACACAATTTAAAATCTTTGGCACATAACTTCTATTAATGTGTTTACACGTCTCACGATTTTTAATTTATTACAGAAAAGCCACTTGAAAAACCGTAAATACTGATTTTCTTCATATTTTGCTCAATATAATGATAATTCTTTCGTATAAATTCTTAGGCGCTTTCGTTCTAAATATCTTAAGATTTTGTAATATATACCAACAAAATATGTAATCTAGTCTTCTATACTCAATGATGCATTTAGACTCGGCCGAGCCCTTTTAATAGAAGAGTTATCCTTCAAACAAGAGGTCTCATTACAACAATGACGGACATAATAACCAATCATAATATTGTATCTACAGTACCTTGATACTCATGTAGAGTATATACAGTAGTTGTAGCATATTGCTCGTATATGATCACAAATCAAATAATGACAACCTATGTTAAAATTATATATAAAAATTATTGATAATCTTACTCAGAAATTATCCGATTGCAACTTTGTCATAAACTGATTTTACCATATGATATCGTATAGACTAAGAGAAAACTTTCTTTATAAACATTTGTTTGTCGTATCATCAATTCACAACGAATTATTACGCTTAACATAAGTAGCTATATATTAAGAATCAATTTATAAGACTATTCAAACAGGAGTGCGTATATTAAATGAACTGTTTGTGAGTAAACTTCTTACATTTAGAATTTATGAATTCGAAACACTTCATATTCAGACACTGAAAACGGACCATTTGTATGTCGAATTGCTTTTTCATATGAAGAGTGGCGACAAGAAAAATCACTTCCAATATAAAGATCAGCTCCAAAACCAAATTGAGCACCACGATCTAAATAACTTCCAATTGCATACTGTGAATCTTTTACGCGACTTAAAATAGAATCTTTAATAGACTTATTTTTTAATGCAAAGATAAACGTTTCTTTACAATTTATCCAATTTATCCGATTTATCCAATTATCATGAGATGGGTTACCCCAACCAATAGGATTATATCCACCAAGAATTTCATCAGTATTTTTAACTTTAATAACTACTACAATATTTATTTGTTGATTACATAATCTCCAAAATGATTTTGTAGTAAAACCATCACGACTTCCACGAAGTAATAGAGTAAATTCATATGGATTATTGGCATCTGTATACGCAACAGTTTTCTTATCAATCCAGGATGCTATTTCTGCAGCTTGTGCTCGATTAATTATAGCTGAAAATGGTAAACGAGCCGGAAGAATTACTGTCGATATCGGACGATCTGGTGCAAGAAACTTTATAAATATATCATTCCGAACTTGCTTCTCAAGAATTTTTTTATACGGCATCACATTATCAATAATATCTTCATTAGAAATGTGAAAATAACGGATTAGAGGTAAACAATTTCGTAAAGTAGCCTTTAAGGTTAGGAAATTTTCACGAGTCCAGTTCTTGGGACTTGGTGGTAAGTTAAAGTTTTTAGCGATTCCCCATTTGATGACATAATTCCAGATTTTTCCTTCTTCTATTTGTAAATCATCCCGTCTGAGAAGTGAGATTAATGTATCTTCTGATAATGAAGTGAAACCTTCTGAATTGAAGATCCACCTTGGATATTTTGCCACAATATCATTGCACCATTTATGCAATTTTTGAAGTTCATTATTTTGGAGACATTTTTTATAGACGTGTGCGAAATTTAAACGGAGAAAATCAGCTTTAGTGTTAACTAAATGAGCTTCGAGGTATTCAATTAATTCTCTTAAAAGAAATTCGCAAGAGATCAATAAGAGTTCAAAAATAAATGGTGTATTATAATCTTCTAGCAAAATAATTCCGCCATAGATGTATCTTTATTAAAATAAATATGCAATTACATTTACTTTTTTTTAAAGATATGTAAAAAACTAACTATTCAAATGTTGTATAACTTACTTGATAATAACTTTAAATTGTCGGGTAGGAACATGACTTAAATCAATTCTTTTAATGTTATCTTTATCTTTGTCAATTTTTGCCAATGTATCATGAAAATATAAAGACCTGTGTCTTAAAATAATTGAATGTGCATTAAATGAAGATTCGCTTGTTTTAACAATTACATCAAAATCTTTATCGCTACAAATTTTAAGATAATTGCTTGAAAGTTTTTCAAAGAATATTTCTACCATTTTGATGAATGATGTTAATTTGAACTCTGATACAGTATAAATAGAAACCATTTTATATAAATAATCAAATTTATACACACGGAGTATAGTATTGTATAATAGCTATGTAAACATTATGAAATTAATTTATCAGCATTCGCTTCAAACTATGTAAAATTGATGATGCAAAAAAAGTGAATTTATTGTATAACCATTTTTTATGAATTTGAAATATCTCATTCATTCGCCGAAAATTTATCTATACTACTTCTAATTGTTCTTTCATATGAATTAAAACTTCATTACTGCAATAGTATTTGCTTGCTTATTACATAATTTCCAAAATGCAACAGTAGTAAAGCCATCTTTGGTGCCGTGAACAAGTAGTTTAAACTCTTATGGGTTATTTGTTATTGAATATGCTTCATTTTTATCAATTTATTTTGTATAACTCTTAAAAAATTGCTTTCTAAATACTGAACCCTATCCTAATGGAAGAATCGGTGATGATATTGGTTGATTCGGGACAATTATTTACATTATGAAATGATCAATTTTTCAATATTGTTTTTAAACTAAAGAATTTTCATAGTATCCAATTTAAAGTCAGCTGGTAAGCCAGTGTTTCGAGCAATTCTTCATTTAATAACATAATTCTGTATTTTCTCTCCTTTCATTTTTAAATCACGTTTAATAAATGATATTAATGCATTTTCAGAAAGTGAAAAATCTCTTGATTTCAAAAGTTTATTTAATAAAATCATCGTTCCATTTTTTGTAATTCTAAAAGCTTTTCATTTTGTATACTTCGATATACCGACACAGTAGAGTGGGCGGGGAAATGTGATGTGAATATATGTACATATTTGGTCACGTTTTATGTATATCATATGTACACATATGTACCCGCAGTATATAAGTTCGTTCAAATTCTTTGCCAAAAGAAGGCATTAATATTTATCTTAATAAATCGAAACTATCTGAAATTAGTTTCGCCTTTAGAATTAGCATCTGAAATTAGTTCACCTTTGTATTAGTATCTGAAATTAGTTTCGCCTTTAGCATTAGAATTTAAAATTAGTTTCGCTCTTAGAAGAAATCAACAATATAATCTTCAGAAGGTTGCTCTTAGAAAAAATCAATAATGTAAACTAGAAATTTAATTTTACTTTTTGTGCAACAATATAAACTTCAAAAATTGTATTTATCATTAGTTAATATATAATCAAGTTCAAAAAAAAAATTGCTAATTTTTTTTTTCAATTTTCGTTTTTCAAAAATAATTACCCCAAATAATCGTATTAACGAAAATCAAGAGTACAAAAAAAACTTTTACGTTGATGGTGAAAGTTTATTTTCTACTTTTTGTAAATGTAATTTAAGTCATAAAAATAAGTTTTTGCTTGATCAACATCTGAAAACCCAAAAGCATAAAATGAATGAATGTAAAGCAAAAAAAGATTTGCAAAAAATAAATAAAACAGATTCCAATATTACTACTTGCCAGGAAGAATGTGAAACAATTAATATAAACTTAATTAATACTTTAACCCAAGCTAATATTCCAATCAAGACAAGCTTAAATCATTCTTTTTAAAATACTATAAAAATGGTATGTATATAAAATATAAATATTTAGTTAAATGTATATTAAATTAATATCATTTCTATATACATATATGGTAGATGGTTCTATCATTAAATCAACTCAATTGTGTGGCAAGTACTTGTCTATTGCATTTAACACAGAAATAGAAAATTCAAAACAACTCTTAATTGGACAACAAATTTTTATTACTGTCAATAAATCACCCAATATTTGTGGAAAAACAGCTGTTAATTATTTAGTTTTTATAATATATAAAACTAAACTTGTTAAGACTGAATATTTAGAGGTTGTTAATAGCATGACAATTACGCAGTTAGTGTTAAAAACTCTTCAATTTTAGGATGTTCTATTAGAATAGGTGGGCAATATAAGAAATAAGCTTTGCTAATGATTAGTAATCATTAATTTTTTAATATCGGAGTTGCGGAGTTTGCAGAGTTTGCCCACCTATTTTATAGAACATCCCAATTTTATATTTCTTTTGAAGATATTATTTTTTTATATCTAACAACACTTCTTATATGCTAAAAACATTTAGCATTTATTTCTTTTAATAACTGAATGAAGTATAATTATTGTTTGACACATATATTAAATTTGGTCAGTAATATGTAGATAGATCACAAAAATTTTAAATTATTAGACAAAGTAATTATGCAAATCAAAGTCTCATTTTTGTATAATAATGCATATAAAAGAAGATAGATTTCCTTTTTAAATTCACAAAATCTAAATATATTATCAATATTGTCTTAATTTCCTATTAAAATGAGATAGAATTCTTGGTTTAATTTATTTTTTGGATCAATAAATATATTTTTTAGCTAATAAGTTTTTATTTGGATAAGGAAAAAATTAGTAATAGTAATAAAGACAAAGTGGTTTAAAAATTAGTATCTACTTTTAAAAACCTATTGCTTGTATTCAAATTTGAAGTTTTAACTGTATTTATTATATTCAATACACAAAGTTAACTACAATAATATTTCTTATTAAATATATAATAAATAAATAATTAATATATATAGGTTTTTTAATATACTAGAATTTTTTAAAATTTATAACAAATCTGTGGCACCTTTCATATCAAGTTATCTGATACAACTCAAAGTATATTTACAATCTGGTATCATTAATCTATCTTTAAATAACAAAATACTAGCTAACTTTAATATATTATCTGATTCCTTATACTATATAACT